CATCCAGTCACTGACTGGGAGCAGATTGCATCCAGTCACTGACTTGGAGCAGAATGCATCCAGTCAATGACTTGGATCCGAATGCAACGATTCCCTCCTAGTTGAAAATGCGGTGGTTCTGCTGACAGAGACTAGTAAACTCAGAAGTTCTGATCTAGTTATTTTCCTCTGAGATTAAATTTCTGACAGGATGAATCTGACTAGGAGATGACAGCCGAGGTCGATGGGACTCGGTCTGATTCGTACAATCTGAAAGTCACCATCAGCTCTGGACTCTTCTCATTCTGTTCAGTTTTTCTCTAATATTTTCCTTCGTCTGATAGATCTCCTGCTTTTTTTTTAGTCTGAATAGAACTCGAGTCTTCTTTCGGGTCCGGGGATGAAGCTGGTAGATTTAAATGTTCCACAGCAGCAGAACATAAGAGATTTATTCCTACAACCGAGTCAACTTCTTCTCTTTACCCGTTAAAGAACGTTTAGCTGCTGAGAAGTTTAGAGTGATATTGCCCATGGCCCCGCCCCCTGAGGACTGGAGCTGGAGACTCGGTGCTCTGATCAGAGTAGATGGGACTTGGAGGAATTCCTCTCTCCTGATTCCTGTTAAACTTATCCTGTTTTTCTTCTTCTTCTTCCCTCTCTTGTCTTTCGCTCCATGCAGCCGGACGAGGACTCGGACCGGTCTGGTGATGAACATTAGCTCCAGTTGTCTGACTGGGAACCGTTGCTGTTGTGTTTGTGATCAAAACTTTGCTGATACTCGTTAATCTGCAGATATTTGTCTCCGTGTCCAAGTCTGAATATTTAATCTCAGATCATTTCTACCGCCTCAGCTTCTTCTTCTCCTGCTTTGCATTTATTTAGAGTTTATTTATTNAGTTTTCTGCATGCTGAATGTTTCTGCTCATACCTCAGAACATTTCTACCGCCTCAGCTTCTTCTTCTCCTGCTTTGCATTTATTTAGAGTTTATTTATTTAATTTGGCAGAGAAAAAAAGCAGTTCCGTGAAAATTATTTTTCTAAAAATAAATCTGTGGTTTTTGCTTTAAAACTTCTGGTGTTAATGTTGTTGTCTTTGATGGAACATATGGAGTAAAACATCAAGTCTTTATCTCAAATGAATAATCAGACCGTTATATGATCATAAATCACATGGTGAACATCCCATGATGCTTTTAGAGGTAGAACCTCCCCCAGCAGCAGCTTCTCCAGCTTCAGAACTTCAGGTTTTACTCATCCCTCCACAGGCTGGAAGAGCTGGACTTTGACTAGACCGTTAGCGTTAGTTCTTAGTTCTCTCCATTGTAGATCTGCTGCCGATGGTTCTGTTGACGACCCTGTTGATGAACTCGCTGCTTCAGCACAGAAAGTTCTGGTCCTTTTAGAAACAGCAAGGTGTCCTATGGTTACAGAGCCCAGACCATCACTCCTCTACCGCTGTGTTTGACAGCTGCTGTCAGCACCAAACTGGTTCTAAGTCATGACCTGTGACCTTTAACCTGTAGACTCATATGAAGCTCTTAGTTATTGAGGATTTTTCTGAGCTTCCAGCTTTAGCTGAGTGTCTGGGTCTCAGTGTTCTGAGACGTTCTCCTCTTATGACACATTCAGAACCCCCGGCATTAGAGGCAGCAGAAGGTCCCGCAGCGTGTTTGAAGCAGCAGGAGCAGCGCCTCATGAGCTTCTGAGGCGCTTCAGAAGCAGCAGCAACTCTGCTGCACCTCCCATATTGTAGATGACCGCAGACAGGAGGCCTCTGATTGGTCCATTCTCCATCCCTCTACTCTATGAGTATTTCCTGTTTGGTTCCTTACCGGCTGGTTCTTTTTTTCTGACCGCCATTGTGGAAACCGACTGGTGAAGATGGAGCAGCTAGCAGAGCGAGGTGCGTGAGAACGCTGGGACCCTTTTCCCACCTGGATCCCCGCTCTTTTTGGCCCTCATGTCCCTCCGTTGCCCCCCCTTCCTCAGCGCCTCGGCCGTATCTAGACCCACAGCTGGTTCCTGATTATCCTTCACTGCGACACTCTGCTGGGGGAGGATATCCAGACTTTTAATGTGGACAAGCATAAAAAATGAAGCAGAAGAATCTTTTTCGCAGCTTCCAGCGGTTGCGATCTGAACGTAGCTTCAGTAACAATCGTTCTCTGTAGGAAGCGGGACTGTGGATGGTCAAAATGACCTCATGACCCTTTAAGGACGGCGGTTTGCCTGAACATACGGCTGTAGCCGCTCCGTATAAACGGCTGACTTTAAGACTTAGTTAGTGTTTCTATGGGGGGTGGGGGGGGCTGTCAGGGCCACCATTCAGCAGGCGTTACCGCGGTAAGTTCAGCCTGACCATCTCTCATCCAGTTTGAGCCGAGCGGCTGCAGTGACGTACAGCAGGAGTGTTTGTGTCTGCTTGCAGCGCACCGGGATCAAACCTCTGGAGGGGGAGGCGTTCCGGACGCACTGCCCCAATCCTGCCCACAGGAAGTCCAACATCATCGTCACCAACAGGTGGGTTCAGCTGAAAGCCGCAGAGCTCCCCCCGGGTGGCCGTCTGTGACCGGTTCTGCTCCTGGTTCTGCAGGCGGGTGTTCTGTGTGAAGGAGATGGACCTGTTGGGTCACCTGATCACCGACTGGGAGTGTCTGTTTGAGAACTTCCACCGTCCTCCAGCCGTGAGTGGATCAGAGCTGAAGATCTACTGCAAGGTAACAAACACCCACTGCTTCCAAGATGTCAGCCATCTTTATCTCTGAATCCCTGGAGGAAGATGATGGCTGCCTGACAGTCGCTCTAATGTGCTTCCTGTTGCTTCTTTAGGTTAAAGCTTCATCACCGCATTCGCTTCGCTTGTTTTTAGTTTCCATTCTGTGACGATCCTGGGGGAACTTTGATGCTTCAACAAATAAA